TTATATTATTAATATATTTTTATTATATAATATAGGATATAATTTATTATATAATATATTATATTTATGTAATAGATATTTACAATATTATATATATTATATAATACTATTTAACATAAAAATATTATTTAAATATTATTTAAATAAATATAATTATATATTTTTATTTCTAGTTTTTAAATATTGCATGTATAGATTTACTTTATTTACAAACTATGTTTAAATACTGAACAAGTTATAAAATATATATAATTCATTACACAAAGCTTTTGAAAAGCGTTAAAAAACACGATGAAAAGTAAATTTGCAAAATATTTTCCTCTAAAGTGTTTACATATGTAAATATTTTCTGTGTGTAAATATTTACGCACGAACCTTTAGAAAAATCTTACCATCTACCCTAGACGAATTTTAGTCTAAATTACATATAAGTGTTGGACTAATCTTAAACACTTAAAACTTCCCTTTAGGGGAATCCTGCCAACCACCCAAGACTAATTTTAGTCTAATTACAGATAAGTGTTGGACTAATTTTGTCTAATTACAGATTAAGTGTTGGACTAATTTTAGACACTTTTATATGTTGCAACGTGGAGCCACTATCTATTTAAGGAGCCGCCATTTAATGGAAAATATGCCCCATTTAATGGGCATTAATATGCTCCTTGTATAGCGTTTTCCTCTTTAATTACATCTCTAAATTTCAAATTTCCCTACTAGTAAACTAGTTAATTTTATATTTGGCCTGAGTTTATTGCTTAAACCTTTTATAACAGAAGGTGAAGCAAACCTAATAAGTTCTTGGAATATCGACAAAGGAAAAGTTTAAGATGCACCAGTGGTGTATAGTAAATGGTGCAATGCAAAAGCATATATACTGGAGCTTAGCCGCAATTGATTAAACTAAATGATAGGATTAGGGACAAAATGGGTTAGGCATTCACTTACCCTGGCACGATTGGATAGATAGTGTTTCCCCAATCGTTTCTAATGAAGTGAAGATCAGAATGGCAAATCCCACAGTACACAATCTTCATTGTTACATCTTCCTCTCCGTTTGCCCTGAAACAAACCAGTAAATTTCAAAACTATTAAATAGATATAGGTCTTCTATCATCCACATTATTATATCTTTATTTTAATTATTCGGAATCGATTACATGAATCCTGTTATGCCTTAGGTTTTAAAGAAAGTTACAATAAGTTCTATACTGACTGCCTATCTAATACAATCTTCCACTTGGGCTGGGATAGATATGAGGGGTAGGCAGTTCGAGGTTGGCATCATCTGACTGCCTTATTTTTTATCAAACAAATGAGCTAATGCGGTCTAAAGATGCCAACATCAAATTGCCCTGAAGAGCATTACATAAGGTGGTCCAAGAATGGGCACCTTGGACCACCTCTGAATGCTTAACAAAGTCAATCTTTGCGGTCTAAGGATGCCAAGCACCACAGAAGGCAAGAAGGTAGTATGATGATGCTAACATTGGGCCGACTTGGGTACAACCCTACAATTGAAAAAACTCAAAAAAAAGAAAAGAAAAAATAAAATATGGTCTGATGGGTAATTTTGAAAAAAATAAAAAACCTCATGTCCAAGGGACAATTTTGAAAAAAATAAAAAACCACAGCTTGACGGATCTTCCGCATAATTTTAACACAAAATTGAATCATTTCATGTATATTTACTTTTGTGTCCGTAAGTAATCCACTCTAAAAATAATATGAGGCAAAAAGTGATAAAAATACATTGTAATATAGGCAAGAAGCCATACCCTGAAAAAATATTGTAAAATAGGTAAAAACTAGTGATTCAAAAGTCGTCGGGTCGAACCGGACTCGTCCGATTCAACTCGAGAATCGGCAGACCTGTGCCGGTTCCAGTGAAATACCGAAAATCGTCTGGTTCTAGAGAAGAACCGACGATTCCATACCGTAAATCGCCATGTGACGTCGTGATTCTCTCGATTCTTCGATTCATGACGTCCTGGCCTGCCGATTCTTCAATGGGCATTTTTTATTCTTCAATGGGCATTTTTGTAAATTTTAAAAAGTGATTCTTCAATGGGCATTTTTGTAAATTTTAAAAAGTGATTCTTCAATGGGCATTTTCAATCCTTTAATGGGCATTTTTGAAAATTTTAAAAAGTACATAAACCTTAAAGTCCGCACACCTCGTCACGCGACTCTCCTCACTTCGCACGCGTTATCCTCGTTAACTACAAAGACGTATTTACTCACTACAACTTCCTTCTACCTCTTCGAT